GAGTGAGGAAGACCATCAGATATGGTAAATAAGGGCTAAGATGTTTGCAGGACATTATGTACATATATCAAACTAGACCAATGAAAGTTTAAAGTTGCTTAAGAAAGGTCAAGGGGAGGGCTGGGAAGGTGGCTCAGTGGTAGAGCGCTTGCCTTGCATACATGAGGCCCTGGGTTCGATTCCTCAGCACCACATAGCAAAAAGAAAAAAGCCGGAACTGGTGCTATGGCTCAAGTGGTAGAGCGCTAGCCTTGAGCTGAAGAGCTGAGGGACAGCACCCAGGCCCAGAGTTCAGGCCCCACAACGCCCCCCCCCCAAAAAGGGCAAGGGGATAGGGAGTGGATGAGTTGATGGGGTATAGTGTATGTGAAGACTGTTTTATATGTGTATATATGTATATATATATATATCATAATGAATCCCTGTTGTATTAGTTCTATTTAAAAATCTTTTTAAAAACTGTCAGGTTGGGCACTGGTGGTTCATGCCTCTAATCCTAGCTTCTCAGGAGACTGTGATAAGAGGATCATGGTTCAAAGCCAGGCTGGTCAGGAAAGTCCCATGGGATTTTTATCTCTAATTAACCAGTCAAAAGCTGGAAGTGAAGCGGTGGCTCAAGTGGCAGAACTCTAGCCTTGAGGAAAAAAAAAAGAAGCTCAAGGACACTTTACCACTTTGAGACACAGCTCCACTTCTGTTTTTCTGATAGTTAATTGGAGAAAAGTGTCTCACAGACTTTCCTGCCCAGGCTGGCTTCGAACTGTGATCTTCAGATCTTAACCTCCTGAATAGCCAGGATTACAGGTGTGAACCACCAGAGCTAGACTGTCTTCTCTAAATTTTGTAAGATATACATTGAATTACTGACTGCATTCTTCCTTCTTCTCCTCTTTGTTCTTCTGCCCCTTTCCACATGACTCCATCCTACTCCTTTCAAGTACCTATTTCCTGGTGTTCATTTTGTTGAACTTTGCCTTTCTAAGGAATTATACCATTTGAATTCTCCCTTGAATCTGCCCTATTTCAGTTAATACAGTTGTATATGCTACCAAATACATTTAGAAGCTTATTCTAACTTCCACATATGAGGCAAAATGTGCAACCTTTGTCTCTCTAGGCCTGAGTTACTTCACTTAATTTTTTCCAAGTCTTTCCATTTCTTTACAATTTACACTTACCAAAAGATCTCTTTACACTTATTCAGGGATAGACTGTTATCATTACATCATTCTTGTGCATACACAGAAAAAGGAAACTATGCACTAAATAAATTGTTTAAAGTACTGCTAAAACTTCTTCAGATTCCAATTTCAACTCTTCTAAATCATTTTTGTCCTCAAAGTCATTTGTATCTCTGAATAGCATCCTCTCTGCCATCAGGCCGATTGGCACTGTACTATTTCTTCTTACAAGAGTATTCTAATGTCTCCAGGGCTTTTTCCTAGCCAATGATACCATTCTGTTGAGTTTTGAAGTGCACGCTCAGGCAATGACAGCTCCAGCCAACAGTGATTATAAGATACTCTGCATCCCAATTTCAAAGGTAAAAAAAATGTGCAGTGAATGAGATAGAAAGACTTACCCATAAAAGCCTTCAACTGCTTTCTTCCATATGCCTCTCCCATGTGGAAGGAAAATTCTCTCTAAGCCTTTGCTTTTCTGAGATTTGTTACTGCTTATAACCTCGGCCAATTCAGATTGAAAAACACAATTCTTACAAATATGTTTCCACTGTGGCTTCCTTCCTTCCAATGTCCACCTCAGCTCATGAAGCAGGTATAAATTAATTTAATTTACCTTTTAAGTGTCCTGACATCTTGTTAATACAATAATTCTCATAGCATCATTCACTCCAGCTTTTTTCAAGCAAATTCTCCATCAATATCATTCTGAAACTGAACACAACACTGCCACAAGCAAAAATCTATTTCTAGATAAGTGTGTTGTGACCTTAAAATATGAAATGTAATATCACTTTCAAGATTAGTGATAATGGTTTTCTCTACTGACTTATTAGACATAATTCTTGGAATTGTGAAAATAATTTTTGGTAAGTGAAAACATTAAATGAGAATTTAGAAGTTACAAATGTAGAACAAATTTCCAGAGTAGAGAAATTCAGGAGAAATTAATGGACACTTTGTATTGCTTGTCACACATTTCTGAGGGGGAAAAAACAACTTTTCCTTTTTCAGGAAAATGGAGTATAAGTTGTCAGTGACAACCATCTATTAACAAATTTCCTTTTGTGATAGAGTGAGGACTTTTTCCCCCAGAGGTAAATTATTCAACACAATTAATTTGAATCTGTGTTGGAGACTGAGATGAAGTTATCAATTTTACCATTTTCCCTTAGTCTGTCCTGATATTATCATTGCCTGAGACTCCGGTACCCATAGCAACAGCCACTGTTTCAGATATCATTCCCCCAAGCAACAGAGCATGGCCAATGACTGACAATCATTCAGTATGTCTCAGAGTAGTACTTCCTTTGGCTGGAAGACCAAGTCACTTCTACTCTCAAGTATTGAAGGTTCAATTAGCAAGGAATTGGAAAGGTGGGAAAATGAGAAGATTTGTACCAAGGGACAACATCAAGAGTATTGGAAATAAAACAAAGCAAACTTAAATCAGTCTGAAAGTTTTTCTTCTGTCACTGCCACACATATTTGAAAGGCTCTTTGTTACCCCTAAAAGTAGACCAAAAGAAGGGGACTTAGAACATTCAAGGTTTTTTTTTTCCCCATAGAACAACAATAGGAACAATTGAGTTGCTGCTGTACCAAGATTTCCCAGCTAGAGATTCTTTTAGAAAAGCTGTGAATGTGACACTGAGGAATAGCTGGTGGTACTAGAGTGTAATCACAATTCTGAGATTTACAGATGATGAAGTCCTGCTTTTTCAGGTAAAACAAAAAGCTATAGTTCTAATTGGACTTTCTTAGCTCTATCCTAGAGCATCCTTCTGAATCACAGAAATGGGAAAGATAGGAGGAAGAGGGGGCCCATTGACAAATACAGAGCCAGTATGGGGTTGAGCCCAGTGAAAAGATAAGTCCCAGTACAGAGTACACAGCAAACATGCAAGCTGCTCTGACCAGGCTTTCAAATGAACCACATTTTTAGGAACAATATGTGTTTTACATCCACTTCTTTGGTCTATTGTACCTGAAAAGATGCATCTCCCAGTGAAGATTATCTGGATGATGGTGCACTTTCTGGGGATTTCCAGATGGAAATGTCTTCCCAGGCATTTAGTGCCAACTCAGTTTATAATGTTGCTGCCTGTGTGGGGAAGAAAGCATGTACAGGTGTTGGTTAACTTCCTGGGAGGTGCCTTGCAACCTCTTACATAGTCTTGCTAATTCTGAAGGCTTCTTTCATATGAAAGGGATTTTGGCTGAGCTTTTAAAGCTCTATCCCCACCCTAGGCTGGGAGGCATACCTATAATTAGGTGAAAGACTACAGTGATAAAGGCTGTGTTTAAGAGTGGTGGGGATTTCCCTCCCTTCTGGGGGGACTGGTTATCTGGCTGAATTCCCAGTCTACCCACATAATCTTTCTTAACTTGTTGATATGCCTTTAGGGTAACAGAAAGCAAATGGAACATGGCATCAGAAGATCTACATTCTTATCCCAATTCCCTACCTTCTCGCCTGTGTGGCCTCCCTGTCCTCATCATTGATAGATACAAACACCTGCCCTTCCTGCTTCCTGAGGTTCTTAAGGAAATAGAACACATTAATGTAAATAAAAACCTGGATTTGAAAAGTGCCACTATTTTTTTAAAATAATTTTAACCTTGTCAACCTCAGTGGCATGGGGGAGGCAGACTAAGTCTGATTTCTTTCCATCACCGGGGTCAGGGTGAGATGGTCAAAAAAGTCCTCTGCCATGTCCTCTTGCAGGACTTTCATCTTACCACCTAAAATCAATGAATATTAAGGTATTTGTGTCTTGGTAAACCAATTTTGTAGTTATACACTCTCTCTCTCTCTCTCTCTCTCTCTCTCTCTCTCTCTCTCTCTCTCTCTCTCTCTCTTCCCCACCCCCACCCCCTGCCTTTACTGGGGGGCAACTTAGGGGCTCACATTGTCACTTGCTTTTTTCATTCAAGACTAGTGCTTTGCCATTTGAGCCACAACTCTGCTTCCAATTTTGTGCTGGTTATAAATAAGAGTCTCATGGGCTTTTTTGCCTAGGTTGGTTTTGAACTGTGAACACTGATCCTTAGATCTCAGCCTGAGGAACTAGAATTACAGGCATGAGCCAAGAGCATCCAACCTAGATCCCGTTCCCTTAATCTCTGCCCAATCTCATTTCTTTCTCCAGTGTCCTACAGACACACCATGTCTGACATCATTCAGACACTAGGGACCCAGACCACCCATCCTATTATACCCCTCCCTACCTCACCACCCATACCCATCTTGATTATAATGAAAGGGTAGGATAATTTGGAGTATCCCAGAGGCCTACAGATTGCCTTCCCATTCATGCCCACTGGAGATCCTGAGCTCCAAGAGGATAGGTCTGCAAGAAATGGGACACTGGCATAGAGAGATGCCTGAATAACCATTTAAAAATTGCATGGGAGCCGTGTGCTGGTGGCTCATGCCTGCAATCTTAGCTATTCAGGAGGATGAGGTCTGAGAATCACTGTTCTAAGTCAGACAAGGTGGAAAGTCTGTGAGACTCTTACCTCTGCCGAAGTACCAAAAAAGCCTGCGATGGAGCTATCACTCAAGTGGTAGAACAAATGACGCTTAGGGACAGCACCCAGGCCCTGAGTTCAAGCCCAGGACCGACATAAAAAAGTCCATGAGGATGTTCCTCCTTCTTTTATTTCAAAGGTAAAAGTTTAGTGCCCACAAATTAACTGAACACTTTGAAAATGCTTAGAACAAAGTAATTTTATTGGAAGCAATATGTAAATAAGGGAGAACTAGTAAATGTGCTCTCAGGCAATATGAGTCCTTGGCTGGGGGACAGTCCCAACTCAGTCCTCATTCATGTTGCCAAGAACATGCTTATCAAAGAGGTACTCATTCATCCCATTCTTCTTTTCCCGCAGTTCCGTCAGGAAGTTAGCCACCTGCTCCACGTTCTTCATCTGCGGCCGCAGGCAGTGGCGTTTCACGAAGTTGTACAGGTGCGGGTCACTCTTGCTGATGGCCAGTTGGTACAGCTCCACGAAGCTCTCAGTGATGGTCATCTCCAGGTACAAGGAGCACTCCATGGCCATGAGGCCGCAGTGCCAGTCATCACGGTCTGGCTTGGTAATGCGGCGCAGGGCGAAGCGACCTCCACGCTCGTTCTGCATCCACAGAAGCTTTTCGGTGGCATCGGTCCACTCGTGGGAGCGGCGCAGGAAGAAACGGGAGAAGTTTTTCAAGTTCACATCGTGACGATCGCAGTAGAAGGCCAAAGACAGGTACACGTAGGACGCATACAGCTGCAGTTGGATCAGGTTATTGACTGCGATCTCGCAGTCACGGTGGTAATTCTGCCGGACCTGCGCCGGCGGCTGCGGCAAGGCAATGATGGGAACAGGTGCGAGCACAAAGGCGAAGATAGGAAGCATCCTCGGGCCTCGGGGTGGGCAGCGATGGCGCTGGCGCCGCCTCCGTCCTCTTGGGAAAGCCATGGCGACCCAATGGACAACGAACGCCTGTGGACTCTGGGCCCGTTGCCCTAGAGTAACTCTGTTGCGTCACCGGAAGTAGACAATAGAGGTAGGAAGTAACAATTGCAGACCGGAAGTAGGCAATGGTGGGCTTCAAGGAATTTGGCTGAGGGAAGAAGGTCAAAGGGCAAATCCTGAGTGCTGAGTTTCTGGCACAATCCAAGTGACTGACACCACTGTTTGACCTACATGATATTGTCAAAGTTATAAATAAATAAAATACAAACCTTTTCTGCAGAGTGAGTGCCCCATGGCTCATGCTTGTAATCTTAGCCACTTGGTGGACTGAAATTTGAGGATCATTGTTCAAAGCCAGCCCAGGCAAGAAACTGAATGAGACCCTTATCTCTAATTAACTATCCAAAAAGCTGGCTGAAAATCGAGTGGTGGCTCAAGTGATAGAGCATCAACCTTGAGTGGAAAAACTCAAGAGCAAGAAGCCTCATCAAGTCCTAGTACCAGCAACATAAGTAAATAAGGCAAAATACACATTTTTTTAAAAAGTTAATCACCTGGTTGGTTTCTTTTATTAAGTTATCAAACTGTCAACATGTGATTTTTCATTAAAGGCAGTGCTTTTGTGGTGTCGAATTTAAAATATCATAAAGCATTATTCAAATAGCAGTTTTCAGTGACTTCAACTTCTATACCAACAATCCTTCTGAGGGAAGAGTCAAAGGCTATGGGTCAGACATGAGGGCTGAGTTTCCATAGCAAACCTGGCAGCACCATTTCCAGAACATTAAAAATAAAACAAGCCAGGCACCAGTGGCTTACAAATGTAATCTTGGCAACTCAAGAAGCTGAGATCTGAGGATCACAGTTCAAAAGCCCCCTGAGCAGAAAAGTCCTTGTGCTTCTTATTTCCAATTAATCACCAAAAAGCTGTGGCTCAAGTGGTAAACAACCAGCCTTGAGAGAAAAAGCCAAGTGAGAGTTCAAGGTTCTAACTGCAAGCCCACGGAGGAAAAAAAAAAACACCACAAAAATGAAAACATGTTCCTCTCTAGGGCTATGTGTAATTACCCACATGTATAATCTCAGCACTTGGGAGACAGGTGGGAAGATTGTAAGTTTGATACCAGTTTAGGCTACATAGCAAGCCAGTCTCTAGAGATGACCCACATTTCCTCCCTTCTTGATTTGTTTTGTTTTGTTTTATTTTACCTTTCTTTGTGCCTTATTATGTAGCCCAGGCTGGAATACAACTCATAATCTTACTGTTTCAGCTTCCTGAATGCTGTAATTACAAGTGAGTAGCATCATGCTCAGCCTTTGTCTACCTGTGTAGGAATGCTCCTTTATTATTTCTGTATTTTTTACTGATTTTGCCTAACAGTGACTGCCTTGCTAATAAAAAGTGATAGAAGTAGCAGTCTGGGATTTCCTAGAGGAAAACTTCTAAATCCTATTTAGAAGTTTTTCTCCTGGGCCCCTTCTCATTTGAATCTAGTTACCATACTGTGAGATCAAACCACATGAAAAAGCAATGAGAAAAACAAACAGGGAAGAAGTACTTAGACAATAGGCAATACCAACTGCCAGCCATGTGAAATGACTGCAGCCCCATCTAATACCACAAAGAGAAAATACCCACTGATGTGATGCTAGCATATGATTATGACTAATAAAATGGTGTTTGTTTTAAACTAGTAAGTTTTGTGAGGGGAAGGGGTTGCTAGGCAGCCAAAGGTCATTGAAACTCAGCTCTACATTTTTATCAGTATAATGGACCCACAAAGGAAGGAAATGGATGAAGAAGTCAGGAATCCCCTGAAAGAGGTGACATTGAACTGATGAGTATATCATTCTCCTGTCACAACTAGGGGAGGGAGAAGGGTGAAGAAAAGCTTTCAGTGAGTGATCCTACATGAAAAAAAAATAGTGGTGTAAAAGTATGAGGCATGTATACAGTTTGGGATGAATGGTATGTGATTAAAGGGAGAGGTCAACTGTCTTCAGAAAAAAATCTGAAAACTCAGGAGCCCAGTCCCAAGATTTAGTTCTTAACCAGTAGGGGCACTTGAGTCTTTCTAAATTAGAGTGCAAAAGTCAGATTTCTGTCAATTCTCCCACAAATGAGAAACAGATTAGAGGGGCTGAAGAGCGAAATAGTAGCCAGGAGACTCTGCAATATTCCAGGGAGAGAAGATGGGATATGTAGAATAGGGTGTGGTAAGGGCAAGGCAGAGGAAGAATTGGTACAAGTCTCATTGAGGTGCAAAACAAAAGTTGAAGACAGCTGTGGGTAATGAAGGAAAGAGAAAAATCCTGGGTTCTCGCAACTCAGGCTTTACTTTGCCATTCTTTGACACTGGCAATGCGGAAGGCCAAGCAGATAGGGAGAAGAATATAATAATTGAGCCTTTGTGTCCTGGGTCATTCAAGAAAAGATGCCTTATAGAAAAGTGACTAGTGGGTTCAGAATTCAGGGGAGAGAGCTTGATTAATTTCAAGAAAGTTGTCGAGAACGTGTGGGAAAAATGATTCTCCTTTGTACACATTTATTTCATTGCAAAGTAATAGATTAGGGAAGAGCATGTCTGCAAGATGTCATGTAAGTAGTCAGGTCCCTGGAGAGATGATGTAACCAGTAAGAGGTGGTATTAGGACTTGTTTTCCCATTACCAGTAATGTGTCATAAGTAGCTATCTATATGCTTATTCCGGTTCCTTTGCGGCTAATGTTACAGATTACAATTGTGGGTATAGTTCATGGCTATGAAAGATTTTTTTTTTCTCTGCATGAACCTAACAGGCCCACATGGGCTTTATCTCTAGCTTAGCTTCATTACACCCATTCTCTAAGCCCCTGAGTAATCTCCCAGCATCAAGCTCCATGATCCTAATAAAGTGAGGCATCCAAAGGTTTGTAGCAACGGGAAATTATTTTGGTTTTCTAGTAAAGGCTTGACAGCTCATCAGGATGAAGGGATAGCAGAGAATCCAACTTGGTACCACATAATACTTAACTTGGTAATTATTTCAAAGACAAATGGGAGTACTTTTAAGCAGTTATCTAAAGGACTACAATAAGGAGTTTTACAGGTTTTCTGTGTTATGATGACAGAGTTGCTTATATGCATTACTCTGTATAAGAAAAGTTCGATTTGACCCCAGCAGGTAATTTGTATATGTAGTAACTGGTATTTTACTACTTTTAATGGGATCTGAGAAAGGCAGCCCCCATTTGATTTGAATCTTGAGCAGTCTGTTTAACCTACTATTTTCCATTTATGTACAATCATTCTACTCTGGGATGTAACTCAATTACTTCATTAACATGCTCAGTTTTTTGTGTTCTGACCGTTGCAATCAAACACAGTCATATTTTCAAGTTTACTTAATTGTATTTCTTAATAGGATTCTATTTTCCCCAAATGTCTTGTTTACTCAAAAACAAAAGAAGTGATTTCAGAGCTGGAGTCTCCAAATCAGGGAAAGCTCAGACCCATTAGAACCACTATGGCTATAGTTTTTCTGTTCTCTTCACATGGTCCAATGGAGAATGGGCTAAAGCATACCTCAGTAACAACTCTTCCAACACCTCAGTATCTTCTTGTAACTGCAGCCTAGTTATTTCTCAGTTATTTCTAAGGACCACAACTAGGGTGAGGCCAATGAAATGCCTAGGGCACAAAATTTGAGGCACCCATTCTCATGGCCATAAAAACACAGGTCTTGCTTATGTGTGTCAGTAAGTGTATTCATTATTGACAGTATTGACCAGCATTAACATTATCAGTATTAATCCAAACTGATAGGACATTCTCTCCACTCGTACTTCCTGCTCATTGAAACAGTGAGACTTAATTTAGCAAATTGTATGCTGTTTTTTTTAAGTTTCCACTAGAAGGGATACATAATATTTCATAATATTGTTCCAAGAAATATGTGACTTAACTTCAAGTGGATGGAGAACTACAATCTCATCGTATGTTTGGAAAGTGGAGAGCTGAAGGTATTTGGTGAAAACCTCAGATTATTTGCATTTCTACATTTCCAAGTTTGCTAGCACAGAAGTCTGTGGAACACTGAGCTTATAGTACTATGCCACAGTTCTCACGACCTGTAATTGTAATGAATTCTGGAGATAGGTAGCTAGTGGGTTATAACTGCTTATAGGTGGATAGGAGACTTGTTAGAAAGGATGTGCTTCTTTCACCTCACATACTCAGCCGAGAATAGGTCTTTCACAATAGTAAGAGACTACTACCCCTATAGCAAAGTTGACCTCTTCCTAGTATAGCCATATGAGCAATTCTACTTATCAAGACTTGTCAAATCTCACCTGAAAAAAAAAAGTACAACTCTTTTCTCCACTTCTTAATTTCTCTCTTTTCTGTTATTTATTATTTGGCTCCAGGAAACTTTGGGATATATCTTGCAAAGAAGATGCTATCCTATTCAGTGTCATCACTTAAGAGAGGAATGAAGACACTTAGTCAATGGACATTATTATTAGCTTGTAGCATCCTGAAATAGCATCTAGACAAAAATGGAAAACTATGGAATGAAAAGAAAAGGCAGAATCAGTGGTCTCTGCTTGTTTTAAAAGAACTCAAAACACCATTGTAAACTGATTAAAAATAATAACAGGCTTCTATTTTATAGTAAATCTTTTTCATGGAAGTTTTGATCGTTTTCATTCTTAATTAGTTCTCACTAAATACTTCTTCTCAGATTTAGCATACCCCTTTTTATAGATGAGCACAAGAGCATTGGCTGATTAAGAGGTTTGGATACAATGAGTGGCTGATATAATGAGGACCAAGTTGCACCAGTCTTTGGTAGTTTTTACCTGAGCACTAGCTTTTCTTGTAGTGTTAAATCCGTGGATTGCATGTCAGTAATTACTTTGCAGTGTCGTGTTGGTGTTGTTGTTGCTGTTGTGGAGAATACTCTGAAATTGCTTTCATCAGAAGTGGTGCTGTGGCTTAATGTGGTAAAGCACTAGTCTTG